GCTGAGTGCTCGACTCGAGTTTGCAGTCGGTGTGTCGGTGTCGACGGAGCAATCGCAGACACGCAACAGCCGACAGACAACTACGTCTACTCTTTGAACGTGTCCTCGAAGTGATTGCACAACGACTGTGTCTGATATCGCCTGCTTCTTGTCCTGGTGTGAGTGATACCAACCGGTGGAAATCCAATAATCCATCGATCGCCTGCCATGACCACCTCGACACAAAGGAACGGCTGATCTCATCGATGACGGTAAATACCATATGTATTCGATTACTGTAGTCGACTTGACTAATATGATCTTTTCATCCATTTCCTTATGCTACCGAACAGAATATACCTTGTAGCCTGGATGGGGATGTTATTCTTGTAGCTTCCTAATTTGATGGACTGATCTGCACCCTGCGTTATCTGATGCTTTCGACCTGTGAATCTCATCCGCCTTTCGCAGTTTTAATCTTTCAATAATAAATTGATTCAGTTTTCACAATCCTTTTTCTTCCGTCTTCGCTTCGAATGCACAGTGTGTTCTAGCAGCGGGCGCAGGCACGAGTCTAGTCTTCTTCCTCATGAATCGGAAATAGATCGATGTCGACGATATTGTCATCAATAAGTTACTTGCTTGACACACTTTTGCAACAGCGCTTGGTTTTCACACGATGCACTGTGGTCATTAGTTTGACTCCTTAATGGATTGCGAATCGTTTTTCTATTGAGGAACATGACCGCATGGATTTCTTTTCACTTTTATCAGTCAAGATCTCTCTGTGGAACGTCAGAAACGATTAAAGAGGTCAGAAGAACCGATTCATGAATGCTGCTTCTTGCGATGGCCTTCAGCGGACAACCGGATGCGTGATTTTGACACTACTTGAACCCCATTCACGATCGATCGCCTGCGAACAGTTAATACGATCGATGTGTGGCGTGGTGGCACAATGCGTAAGAGGTCGGCTTTGAAATCCGGAGAGCGGCCTCGACTCTTGCTTGCATACGACAAACTTCGTTTTTGGCACGAACAAGAAATTTACCAAACGCTGTTTTAAGCGTCAGAACTTAAAACTGAAAGTCCTGAGTTCAAGACCCTGCCTGGGTCACTCGTCTTTCTTCTTTTGGAGGTGAGAAGGAAACATGTGAAACTGACTATGCTTGTCGTAAGGCGTTCATGGCTCATGAAATGGAGATGTAGATCATCGTCACATCATGAACTTCATGATAACAAAAGTCCTACGGTCGGCCCATTATGTAAACGTAAATAATTGGGACGTTTCAACGATTACAAATTTTCCTTTTTCCATCCTCAATCAGCTGATGTGATCGCATCACGAACAACCACACACTGTCAATAACTTATCTGGTAGGTATACTATGGCTTAATGATAGACAGGGAGCACTAAGGCATCACTGACTCGCTAGCTCTTGGAGAGGATCCCATCTCATTCAGGGATTAAGGTGGCATTCAAGTAATGGAGTTGTTATCGTTCGATGAACATTTTATCACGTGCCCCAGCCAGTACAGTCGCCGTAGTCGCACAAAGACTAAAAGGTGATGCAAAATTATGTTTCAGACCTCAACCCTCTTACCAAAAGGTGGCGCTTATTCAATTATAGATTATCCAGTTGTTTATAGACAAGGCTGAAGATAAAATCAGCAAATTCATTATGAAATTAAACAGACTGATTTAATTAATCGAAAGACTCTTCTAAGCACGTTGGATTTTGAGGGGGAATGGAATCGTACTCTTACTCTTTAATAATTGGTAGCCATTAAATGAACATGGCTCTATGGTTTCGAAGAAGCCACTTCCTTATTAACAGCTAATTAATACGGGCATAGGAACCCCTAGCTATGATTTTCTACGAAAACTGAGAAGTAGCACCAGCTCCTGAAACGGTCACTAGTGACGAGCAAGGTACCTAGCCAATACAAGGATGTTATACGCATATAGCCGCGCAGGTGCTGAATCACCTTATAGCCATGGCTTGCTTAAATGTGCCATTTGGAAACCGACGGCTCATCAAAACCTCACTGCTTTAGAACGGTTGCTGTGGAACACATCGACGTCAAACTTTTTTATTTTCTTCATGCGGTGTAATCGAGGTATTCATTACCTCAGCTGCTTTGCCTTGAAAGCATGAGGCCTTCGTCCGGCTTCCGGTTAGTTTTGCTCAGTTTGTACGTTCAAATCTTCCGGCTCTCTTCCGCAGTTGTTATTGAAACGAACACATTTTATAGCACTTCGTTTCAGAATGTGATCTGGCATTTTGATTGTTGCTTCCTCTTAACTCAGTGAATAATGTTGAATTCATGTGTGGTTTATATTTAACATATGATCAGTCAAGTATTAACAGTCGGCAAATAGAAATAACCATTAAACTGTTGAGGAGGGCAACGTACTGTGACCGCGTATTTTGAGGGACTTTCCAACGATGATGCTTGTTTGTTAATAAGTTATGACCGCATCGTACGACGGATACATTTTGAGCGTAGTGCGAAAAAACAAAATGGCAAACGGAGTGACTTCGATTTCGATTTCGTTGAATTCTATCAATTTACGACAGACAGGCAAGCGGAGTCTTCTCAGTCTTCAGCTGTGTGGTATCTCATTTATGACATATAGGCATGAATGACAGACGTCTTTGTACAGCGAGTAATGCAAAGCGTCGACGACAAATCAATTTCTCGTTAAGTGCTACGGGCACCTTCAGAAATCAAGGCAGCTGTTATGTCTCATAGGAGGATTTGAAGATTATTTTTATGCTCATTAATTACGTTAATTACTGCCACCGGGAAATTAACGCCCATACACTCACAATCGATAGTCGAAAACAAATTACGTGTTGGTTTTCGGTGATATCATATGTCTGTGATAAACGTATTTGAGATAAGTCGAAGATTGTGAATGATTCCCTAGTGCATGGATGGTTTCGTCCGTTGCATCTCTTTGGAAGATGAGTGGTTGTCGCTTCCAAGACCAAGTCATTATTCGTTCATATTCTTCGGTTTGTCATGTCTGTTTCACTATCTTAGGCTAATCACAACCGTCGCCCAGTGAACGAGTGTTAAACACACCACAGGGCTCAGTTCAATCCAGCTGGTCACTTATCGTCCACAATCACAGACCAGACTTGGTCGAATCCTCACAAGCGGTAAACATAACTACAGCGCTGATCAAAGAGCTCCGACCTTAGCGATGACAGTAACCTGCATAATGAGTGAACATTAGATCAGTTTGCGCCAGCATATTTTCCTCCATGTCCTGCATCCCGTTATCTGCTCCAGAATGCTAACGTTGCATTGGGAAAGCTAACTGTGCAGTAGATTACAGAGTAAGTAAATCAGCTTTGGATGCCCATTTTTCTTTCAGGTCGGCGGGGGGGGCAGTAGTCGACTCAGACAGTTTCGCTAACGTCCACATTCAGTGTGTCAGCGTCGGCAGAACACATCCTGAGTTCGGATTAAAAGCTATTTAATGCACTAGCTTTGAGTCATTTTTGGCTTTGTGGTTATCTCGTTGCCCTTTTGGTAAGCGGCTGCTGCTTTTCAATATTTTCTGCGGGCATTGGCAAGATCTGCCCAAATTGTCGTAGTCAGCATCTCTTAATCTTAAGGAATACTGACTCGGTTTTGAGAATGTTCTTGGTGACTAAGTTGCCTAATCTCCGTCGAAGCGCCTATGCTTCCTGTTGTTCCTCAGAAAACCCACATTTCGACTACTTCTATTCATAATCGTGTTTTTCTAGTTATTACTCATCGAGGTCCTCTAGTTCCTAGATGAGTACGTCAATCTCTGGTATTGATCTGTGCGGCAAATGAAGAAAATAAAAATGGTCTGGTGCTTTCATCAAAACTGCGTTCTGAATGGCACTGGCGCTATTGAGTCTTTAACTTCCCACGAGAAAAGGAAGCAGTTCAGATGAATTTTCAAGAACTCCAGAAGCCTCTCCAACAGCCTATGCAGTATTCGTTGTGCTGCTAGTTTTTCAGCACGCAGGCGGATGCCTAACGACCTACATTAGTGGAGAGGGGTCTCAGAAAATACAACATAAGAAGCACGGAAAATTAGCGGTTTACAGCAATATTTTGTATGTAACATTATATATTTACCGATGCCTCTGAGGTAGCGTTGTTTCAAGTGATGGTGTGCTTCGCCTGAAACTGTTGTAACC